ACTACGGCCGGTAACGTGGCTGGGTCAGTCGAATGGCAGGGTCAAACTGCTTAGTGTATTCACTGGGCGCCATATTTGAGGGCGCTGTTTAGAGCGCATGCTCAGAACAAGCTCCCATTAATAGGCTGTGAAGATCAGCAATCTTGATGGTGGGGAATGCACGTTGCAAGGAAACTGTGGAAGCTCGCCATCAGCACGCGCTCAGCAGTCGCGCACACAGCTATGGCCGCCAGTGAATACTCCCTATACGTGATACAGACGAGTCTGCATACAGATTCGAACGCGAGTTACCGCGATATCTGTGCTTCGAATACCGCATGGCAATGAGCTCAAGAAAAAAAGCATGGCGCGCGGCATTCGAAACACGGATATTCTGGTGACTCGTCTTTGCAGATTGTCTTTAGTATGATGGTATGAGTAGTGTGACCCCGGCTTAAAGGTTCTGCTACACTCCGACATAGATCGTAGCAAACGCGGCGTAGCGCAGTGGACACCGATACTGATTGGTCGCAGTATTATCAAAATAAATTTCAGCATATTCACAATGACCATCGAAAAGTTTGGGATACAATAAACGTTTTAACAAAGCAAAAACGCTGTAGTGTCACGGAACTGATAATCGATAATGTAAGTGTAGCAGGGAAAAAGCTCGCAGACGCAATGAATTTGCATTTTATCAATATCGGCACGTGCGTGGCTAAAAATGTAAAGAATGATGACTGTATACGATTAAGGAATCAGCAAAATTGGAAAATGGTTGTTCCAGCGACTTATCAAGAATTTTACAAAATAATAAATAGTTCAGATAACAATGAGTTGAAGGTGTGGATAAAATAAAGCTTTACCAATTAATGGCTCCGCTTGCATAATAAGTCCCGTATTATCCAATATAATAAATAAGATGCTAGAGACTGGTGAGTTCTCTGATGAGCTAAAAGTTGCAAAAGTAATCCCTGTGCATAAGAGCAGAAGAGAAACTTAAGTTATTAATTATATGCCGATATCTTCTCTCTCTGTTTTCCCAAAGATGTTTGAGCGCGTCATCAATCAAAGGTTGAATATTTTGCTTTTTTAACATTTCAGACTATTTCTCAATTCCAGTATGGATTCCAGAAAAACAAATCTGCCGAATCAGCTCTGATTGAAATAAAAGATAATATAGTCGAGAATATTAAGGGAAAACTGGTCACTCTAGGCTTATCCCTTCCTTGCATACTTCAAAGGCGTCCATGCAGATCATAAATTTTTGCGTTTTCGCAACTATTGGTATTGAGTTGACACCACAGATATTGTTTTCTTAGCGTTAAGAAATATAGTTTACTAATTACAGAGCATCCACTACAGTGGACAGCATGCACTGGGGGCACAAGATCCCTTTCGTCTTATGACCACAACTTAGGCTTTTTTTTTTTTTCAACCCGACGTCCTTTTCTTGGTGGTGGAGCCGCGGGACCTGTGTCGCGATCCTCTTCATCACTGTCATCACTTTGGCTTGCATCTTCCCAGAAATCATTACACCTGCCTTGATCATCATCTATGGCATAATCGATGGCATCATCCTCGCTCTCTAAAAGAGCATCATCACTTCCTGATGGCAGTCCATCTTCAAGTAGGACACTGATTCCTGAGTCAGATAGTGAAATATCCTATAAAGCGTCGATGTCTGCTTCTCTCAAACGTGATTTGGTAGCAGATCATTTGTCTCTAAAACAAAAAATAACAAAATATAGTATTTTTGGGAATATGTAGATCTATGGCGGCATTATTCATTACAACAAAAAATGGAACCCTTCCAGTATATTTACACCAAATGCAATTTGTGCCTAGCTCATGTCGCCGTAATGCTGCTGTTAATGGTGTCCACCAGAGTGGACAAGCCACAAATAGATCACTTACTGAACAATGAAGACTTATTGGAGACTCATATTTATAAAGTTTACATCTCAAGACTTACTCGAAAGCATGAAAACGTTTAACAGAGGAGTACTAAATTTTTGCAACAGTTTACGACGCTTTTGCAAGGATGCTCGCCCTTTACCTGAAAATTGTGGAAGCTGCCATCTTCGATGCTGAATATGTCAACACCAGTAAAATTGTGGCGCCATCTATGAGCGAAAATCGAAAACGCACGTGTAAACTGAAGTGGACACCATGCGCACGGGTATTATGTCAGCTGGCCAGTTATTTAAAAAATAGTTAACTTTGTCCACTGTAGTGGCCACTATGCAACAAAGGGTTACTTTAGACCTAAAAAAAGCTTTCGACACCGTACAACATGATATCCTACTTAAAAATTTTGAAATGTACGGAGCACGTGGAGTGGCCTTAAAATTAATTGAAATATATCTGACGAATTGGTACCAATACGTATGCGTAAATGATACAATATCTAGTAAAATGAATATACGTTCCGGTGTTCCTCAGGGCTCTATTATGGGGCCGACGCTACTTCTAGTGTAAAGAGATGGCATAACGGATATACCAGGCTGCCCCGAGATGACAGTGTATGCAGTTTACACAAATGTATTTTTTTTTCTGGTTTAACGAAAAATGGTGTAGAAACATTAGCCAATGAATCTCTTAAAAAAACTATCCAAATAGTTTCAAATAAATAGTTTAAGCTACAATGCCAATAAAACTAAAACAGAGATGACAGCATTGTAAACATCACATTTGAAGGCACGGTACTGAAGCAGGTGGTTGAACAAAAATGTCTAGGTGTTTGGTTCACTGAGGACCTTCCTTGGAATACGCTCGTCAACGAACTAAAAGCCGACTCGTTCCAAGTTCCTGGCATTATTTATAAAACTCAGAATCTAATCCTTGCCTTGCTTAAACTAACGTTATATTACTCCTGATTTTATTATAGGATCAGTTACGGCACCATGGTGTGGGGTACAGCAACAGCTACAAACTGCAATAAACTAATCATTTTGCAAAAAATACTACGAATATGTGAAAATGATAAAGACGTCATGAAGGATTTTAAGAACGCAGCCACTCATTATTCAGTATAATATTTTCTAGGCAAATCAAATTTATTTTTTCGAACTCTTGCAATGGATACATACAACTAGACTCCACTCGTCGCCCATTAACAGTTCTAATCCATACTTATTACGGACGCCAAAGCGAAAAACGCCATACGTATGAGAAAACTATGGTCGACAAGCATCACATTTTCAGATTACTAAAATGCTTAATAGAACAGATATAAACATAAACTTTGATTAGCCGTTTGGTAGTTTCAAACATTTTTGCAGAAATATGCTAGTGGCGAGTGATGTGACATTTTCTTTGGTATAAAAACCTTTTTTTTAGGGGCAAAGCTCCTTAGGGTCTAGCCTTCTCCGTCAGGCGTCCGTGCTCACATTGATTGTCATCCCATCTGTCTTCTTAAAGAAAAAAAAATGTTGGCGCAGTCGACAGGAGACTAACCTGTGCGGGGAGACCCCAATGGATTTCTAGTCCATCGCCTTAACCACTCGGCCACGACTGCATATAGGGGGCTCTGAGACGTGGTAGTAACTCAAGAGCTGGGGATGTTGTCGAAACGCAACCCGGAACTCAGCACTACCTATGAGCTATAAAAAAAATCAGCACCATCAGCACTACCTATAACCAAAATCAATATCATCAGCACCACCAGAGCTCTGCCCCAATCAACATCATTCACCACGTGGAGATGAGGTCATTTTTTAGGTGTAGCTTTGTTTGACTTTTTCACTACAGTATTTATGAATTTGCATAGCAGTATCTGTCTGACCTGTTGCAAATTATGTCGTTTGCGCATCAACAAAGTGTCCAGATGCATTTTATCTTCAAATAAATGTTTGAACTGTTTTGCATACGTTGCATTTCGTGTTTATTCTTGACACCATCATTTATGCTCTTTGTTCATAGCGTGTTTTATTTCGTTACATCGGTCATTTTGTTGGTTTGGATGAAACTTTTGTTGCTCCTATGTTGGACTGTATGACAGGGGGAAAGGGGGGGGGGGGGCAGAGGCTGTGTCAGGCATTGTGCCTTTATCTCTGCCTCCTCTGGGGAAACAAATCTGTGAAACAAATAAAAAACTTATCGTAGCACTGCCCAGGCACTTCACGACCGCGTTATTTCTCATTTCGTTCGTCAGTTGACGAAGAGAACTAAGGAGGAAGAAGTTGAAAAACACTTTCACGGACCTTTTAACGTCACGCCCTAATTCCAAATAATAGACCTTCATACGAGTCTATCGCTAGCTCAAAAGCAGATAGGCGAAAAAAATTATTAAGTAATTACTGGCATTCGAGTCATGTTTTCTTACAGTCGAGTGTTTTTTCCCCGAAAAAGTAGATCTAGTATAGAACACCCGCCGATAGATCTAGTATAGACCATCATCGCTACGACCCAACGTAGGATCGTAGCGATGCCCTCGCCACGATCCGATAGATTGAATCAAGCAGCATCCCATTATCACGAAGCTCGACGTCTTTGTGAGTTTGGTGTCGCCGTTTAAACCAATCACGTGCAAAAAAAGAAAAAAAAAAACGGAGGATCACGCCGCAGTCACTTGGCGTGATCATTGGTCTAGTCTGCGATTTCAAACGCACAGAGACAACAAGCTTCGTGTCGAGGGACCTTTGACGCTGCCCAATTGACTAGTGTGAATGTGTTTGACTGTTTTCTTTGTAGACGGCTTAATGTTTTCAGAATCATTCCCTTTGATATGCACGGAACGAAGTCTATTTAGGTGTTTCCGTGATTTAACAGAACGTACAAAACACAAGTAGATGAGTCTGGCGGACGGTCGGTTTTCTTGCCGTCTTGTCGGATATTTAGCGAGTTTAGGTCGCGCCTACTGTAGGGGGACATAACATCGGTTGACCACGTGACCATACCGGACTAAAGCGTGTGACCATCGCGCCTAGTCTTCCGGATGACAATTTTGTTACGTATGGCCAAAAGTGTTTTTGCGGACGTTATTTATTCTCCCACTCACGGTTCATCGTTCCCTCAAGGTGTTCGAGAACTGGATACAAAAGTACGGCAAGGTGTTCGGCTACTACCAGGGAGAGATACCCTTCATCGTGCTCACGGACGTTGACATGATAAGAGACTGTTTCATCAAGGAAACAAACACGTTCCACGACAGACCGACCCTCGTTCTCAACGTGGAGCCGTACATCAGCAGCCTGTTGGGTGTCGAAGGTATGTCCGTCTTGAGCATTATCGTGTCAAGTGGCAATACATGCGTTTCCATAACTCTTCAACTCTCAAGCTTTTACGCACTGATATTCGGAAATGCCGGTATAAAACCGACATTTAAAAAAAAAGTCCCACAATTCCTCCGACAAAAGGATGATTAACACACGCATCACAACACGTTTTCAGCGCGAGGAACAGCACTGATGCAGAGCTAACATGAGCGTAATTTCAGTGATCGGCGCTCCATAAGCGCTGGGCACTAACATAGCGAAAAGTAAGCGCGGCATCAGCCAGATGAGCGCCATTTCCGGTACTGACTCTTATCGCCATGTAGTGCTGTTGTGTACAGTCGGGAGCAAAAGTTTGCGGGGCACGGGAGCGCGTGCCGAAATGCATCGCCGCGCCGTCCGACGGCGCGCCGCCGCATTAAGGAGACACGGTTTGCGCACGCGCGACCTTCGTGCTCGCAATCATGTCTCTTTCGCTCGTTTCTTTTCGACGCGCTCCTGATAACAGGAGTCAGCGCCAGGGGCGTGCGTTAGCGCTTCGCTGGCTGTCTACTGCGCGTCTGCTTCAGCCGTCTCAGCCACCGCGCTTTGTCACGGAGCTCGCGCGTGTGTGTGTGTGTGGGGGGGGGGGGGGGGGGGGGGGGGGGAAGGGGGGGGTAGCCAGGCGCCTTGTCACCCAGCGTGGCTGCTGAGGCAGCTGAAGAGGACGCGGGGCATGACAGCCAGCGAAACGGCAACTTGCGCCCTTGGCGCCGACTCCGGTAATCAGGAGTGAGTCGGACAGAAACGAGCGAAAGAGACATGACTGCCAGCACGAAGGGCGCGCATGCGCAAAGCGCAGCTTTTTAATGCGGTGGCGCGCCGTTGCACGGCGCGGCGATGCATTTCGGCACGCGCTCCCGTGCCCCGCAAACTTTTGCTCCCGACTGTACATGTGTGAATAGGCCTAGCCACTATAAATAAGTATGTTTCAGATTAAGTGGACGTTTCAGCCATTTTAGTGATTGACTTCATTGTTGCTAGTTATCCCAAGATTTATCTGAAATCGCAGAATACGGATTCCCGTCGTCCATAAGCATTAAGAAAGTCAACGCCAAACGATATAGCTCGTTCTTGACACCGTATCCAGAGCTCAGGAAGTCACATTTTCGAATCAAAACGATCGACAAAGGTGGCCGATTTGTACTGAGCACCGAAATGGCGGTGCGGACAAGAAAATCGGCGGATGAAGTGCCGCTTTTCTAAGCGCAACCTATTTAGCGGCTCCAACGCAGCTCATGTATGGTCTATCTTCCAGCCTGCCATCATTTATATTGACCTTTCCATAAAAACGACTTCTACGCGCTGCAGGCTCTGCTGGGCTGTGGAGCACCTTCTCAGCATGCGCTATAGCTGTGCTGTGCGGTATATTAGAGGCTGCTAATGCGTCCACAGATCAAGGACTCAGCTTTTTTAGTGGATGTGATAAGCGGTGGAAAGGGCTATAGTGCCTTTTTTTTAAGTCAGTGACTCCACGGACAGGATGGCACTCGAAATGTGACGCCCTTGATGCCTGGAAATATGGGTTCCATGAGGTTACACTAAGACCAAATCATGCGTACCAGATTTGAGCAGATCACCTCAAACTCGAGTCATTTTAGTTTCCTGGCTGAACTGGAGTCAAAGTGGCGCCAGCTGCGATAGGTTGGCGATAGATTGGCTGCGATAGGACCTAACGTGAAACGGAGCATAGAAAAGCAAAACATTTTGAGGACGCCTAAGCACTTCTTATGAGTTGTGAATGCGAAAGACTCGGCGCCGAGAGGAGCAAAAGTGGCCACAGCGCCGGCAGGGAGTGCGGCGGTGGGCCCCGCAGACCGCCCTGGCTCGCTGGTGACTGCTGCGCCGCTGGGTGAGGCAGCGGCAGGAGTGCGAAGCTCGGCGTGGCGCCGGGAGTGCGTGACGACGCATCTGCGTTGCTGTAATTTTCTTTCCGTTTTACTTCTGAGGCGCATCCGCTGTGACCTCGAGCGGCCTCGCCGGCTTCCGTGACGAAGCATCTGATATGACGTGTCGCGGCCAACGGGACTTTAGGTGTCGTTTCGCTCGGCCAATGGGGAAGTGAGAATTTAAGTCTCGTTTTTCGCGGTTACAGATGCCACCGGCTTCGCTCCGTGGAACCCCCCCCCCCCCCCCCCAGCTCATGCTTTCGCATTAAAAATACGTTCCACTGATCAAAATGTATTCTGCTTAAAGCGCCTTTATTTATTCTATGAAACCCGACATTTCCTCGATCTCATTGAGGAGAATGTCATGTTCAGTCGTGCTGCAGGGCGTAATAGAGGAGAGAGGGTGGAGAAGTTTCCTCCCCTTCCTTTTACTTCTCTTTTCTGCCCCATAAGTGTAGTTCCCTATCCTCGTAATTCGAGCGAACCGAAAGAAAATCACTCGTATCGTTTTTTCTCAACAGGCGCAGAGTGGAAGAAAACGAGGCGCGTTCTCAACCCGATTTTCACGGCGGCCAAGATTAAGATGATGTCCCAAATTATGGCCGGGTGCTCCGAAGAAATGCTGGGGATCGTTGGCAGAAAATTTGACGGAGGAGAAGCGGTGGACATGCTACAGATTGCTCAAGGACTTTCGCTGGATGTCATCTCCAAGTGCGCCCTAGCTTGGAAGGTAGGTTGTGAACATCACACACATTATGATCGGCCACCTGGAGAACCGCCGTGACGTAATTTCATCGGTTGCTCCGGCCGTCGATGCGCGTGTGCGTAGTCTAAACACGAGGACACACTTCAGATCCGTAACGGGCCTTGGAAGTCATGAAAAAAAAAGGTATGTCTTCCTTTAACCGCGCGACAAAGATCTGTCTGGTTTGGACCTTCTTTACGGGGAACTGTGGTAGGGTGTGTTAACTCACCGAAGCTTATACACAGGAAGCAAAAACGCGGCGCCAGCTTTTTTTGCCACGTCGCTGGCGCCAGCACGTCCAGTGCTTGTAACTACACTTGCCGCATGCTCCTCGAGGTTTTGGTAATTTATGAAAAACTGTCTAAACATCCACGCAGCTTCCTAGCTTCACGTTGTCTAAAAATCCATGCACACCAACGTTTACGGGGAATGTGTATAGGGCTAGGTATTCGTAAAACAAAGTTTAACGTAGAACCAGTAACCGAAGTAAAACAAGTTGAAAGCGCTGGCATGGAAACCAGCGCACCCTCAAGACAAGCACTCTAGAGATTTCGTGCGTAAACTCGCCCGAACCTCCGTTTAACAAGTTCAAAGCAATTTGTTCGCTAAATGTAGCGGGAAAGTATAATGGATAAAGAATTCCGATGTCACCATATGACATCGCTGTCACCATATGACAACAGCACGCGGTATTTCGGCGCCAATTTAGTGGACTTAAGCTCTTTTTAGTTTAGCGGACGGTGTTGACGTGACCGTTCGTGGTCGTTCAGTGACAACATAAATTGGCGTCGTGACGTTACGTCCCGCGACACTGTGACTTTACGTGACACCATGGCATGGCGTCGTGATGTCACGGCATGTGATACCTTTACTTTGCATCATGTATCGCACTGATATCAAGTTACGTAACATGATACAATCACATGACTTTCTCGTCAACTTGTGATGCCACTTTACACCACGTTAGAGCAACACCCCCTATACTTCGTTCCAACTTCAAGTCCGGACAGAGCAAACACTTCTAGGTGATAGGACCAACCAAACAGTGTCAATAGTGCAAGTTACTAAGCTTTCCCTTTATACGCTTGGCTTAACGATGATACAACGCGTTCGGAAACATGACAAACACAATGTTGCGGTTCTTTTGACGCTGAATGACTGGTCCCATCAGCTCGTGGCATCGGGCTGTGTCCGGACTGAAGGGGGAACGAAGTAGCGATCTTAGACGTTACAACAATCCAGCTCAGCTCAAAACATGCTGGACTTTCGGTGTCCCAACTTTATGAATCTGGTTAAGATGCGAAAATGTCTTTTTTTAAGTAGAAGATGGGCCCCAACCCAATTCTGGCAAAAACAACCGCCCCGTTGCTTCATTCTTAACTCGTTTGGTTTTCCTCGGCAGGTGAACTGCCAGACCAACACCACGGATCCACTCCTGAGGGCTATGCACAGCGTTGTTGATGATGCAGAAAATACGCTCATCCAGTACGCGATCGCGCTCCCTATTCTTCGCAAGATTGCCGAATGGATCTATCCTTACGCGAGTTATTACAAGATAACGACTAAGATACTGGACAACGTACGCGAGGTCATTGAGTACCGGCGAAGCGGAAAGGGCTCCAGGACTACGGACATGCTCCAGTTGATGCTCGACGCCCAAGCTGGCAAGGAGGCCAAGGCGACAACTTCAAGCAAAGGAGACATGCTAATAGAAGACCGCCACCTTCTGTCGAACAGCTTCCTCTTTCTAGCAGCTGGTTTTGATACGACGGCTCTGACTCTAGCCTTCGGCGCCTTCTTACTTGCCAAATACCCGGAAGAACAGGAGCGCGTTTTCAACGAAATAGTCAGCGTTTTTTCAGAGCCTGACATGGAGCTCACATATGATGGAATTCAGAAGCTGAAGCGGCTGGACATGTTGATCGCCGAGACCATGCGCCTCTACCCTCCCGTGGTATTGTTTGTCAGTCGATGCTGCAGGCAAGATACGACCATTATGGGACAGTTTATTCCTGCAGGAGTCAACGTCCTGGTGCCCACGTGGCACGTCCACCATGACCCTAACCTGTGGCCGGACCCTTACAGGTTTGACCCCGAGAGGTTCGCGAACGGTCGGAATACGCACCACCCCGCGGCTTACTTGCCCTTCGGGCTGGGACCCAGAGGGTGTATCGGGAAAAGGTTCGCTTTACTGGAAATCAAGATGGCCATGTGTAAGATTATTAGAAAGTACACATTTATACCATGCGACGGTACTCCGGAGGATGTGGAGTTAGTTGTAAATAACATAATGATTAATCCTAAAGGAGGGCTTAAGGTCAGATTACAACGACGCTAGGGTGGGGAAGGTCGCAAAGAAAGTTTCTAAGTACACATGCGTACACAGACGCACAACTGGGTACATGCTCTAAGTGTTTTACTCATTGGACTCGGTCTACCCCCTCACATATAAACGTGCGCGGATACAAACAACTCTTAACGGGCGGAAAATAACGGAAAACCAAAACGCTTGGGCCGAGATCTTTTTTTAGAAACTTTGTGGGCAAGTACAAAGAACTAAATGTTTAGCGTTTCACTTCCAGTTTGAATCCGCTTTACAATCAATATTCTGCAGTTTATTAACGACCATCATAGGGCCCATGTAATCTGGTAATTTTTAATCGGGATCCATTGAGCAATTGTAAAAATCAGATTATTTTATTTATAAAATAAAGCGAAGCAAATTGATTAAAACGGACGCTCTGTATACCTCGACTTGTCTATAATTTTATAGGTATTCGCGATTATTCTGACAGGATGACGCTCCAGTCAAGCACAAGCGAGGGAACCTTGACCTGGCAATTATTTGTTTTAATGCCAACTCACCTAGAGTATTGAGCAACCTCCAAATAAATTGCCGAATATTCTTTCTTGACAACGCATATTTTCTGGCGGCACCATTATCAGACGGAAATTTGTGGACATCAGTTTTTAAAATATGCATCTTATATATGCTAACCACAATTCTGAGACCCGTTTGCATATAACTTCATATTGCCGCTGGATCATCCCCAATGTTGCTCTAACCGCGTAAACTTAATTGGGATTTTTAGTGCAAATTGCGGCACCAGTTTATTAGTAATTGTGAAAATACTATGCTAATACTTTCCTTGCTGATGGAATGTTAACGTACACGTCTATTTTCTTTTTGCCCTCACTTTTTTTTTTTTTTGCTGATGTAGATTTTTTTTTAATTTTATTCACTTTTCACGTAACTGAGAGATATTAAAAGAACCGAAAGGTACTCATTAAAAAACATTGAAATAAAAAAAATTAAATCGCATAGCGGGGCACGTTATTTGTTGTAATTTCTCCGCGAAATAAAAAAAATCACAATATTCACACCGTTACGCAATTTAGGTGAAGTCACAGCTCGCTCTATGCCTCGCCTACAGATTAGTTGCCCCGCCCATTACTACTGGATTAGCTTGGCTGTTCGACCAAACACGCTCTGAAGCCTAGTGTCTCACCTTCGCGACACCAGGTGCGCCTAGTCTGGCGTCTGACACCGCCAGCTACTTGTACGAGCAGACGCGCGGCAGCCCACGGCCTGGCCTACTATTTCACCACCGGCTATCGTCGTCTGCAATGCCCGTTAGACACGGACATGAAACATGTGCCTCAGCGTCCGTTTTTGCCTTCATCCGTTTGCTGTTCCGACCCGTCTAAACAATTTCTACAACGCTCGCAAGACTCGTCCATGAAAGCGACGTTCTAGCATTCCATCACGCATGAGCCACGGTTCAATACTAGCGTATATCGGCGTCTGTCAATGTGCGGTAAAAAGTGACCGAGAGGACTGAAAAAAAAGCGACAAAATAAATATGCAGTCATTTCAGCTTTTTTCGTTCTTGTTATTTGTTTCTCGTGGCATCCGTGAGCAAGGTAAGTGAGGGTCATGACGCACATATAAAACGTGACCTAAAAAATGAAGGACGTTTGCAATTCTCTGTAATGCCGAATAACAGCGCAGCTCTTGAGGAGAAGGAGGGGCGGGTACAGAGAGGAGGGAATACCCCCTCTTCCCACTTTGTACCCTCCTCTCCTGCTCTCCTCCCATTTAGTGAAAATATTTTCGCTAAATTTTCCGCTAAATTGAACGAAATCTTCGTCGCTAAACTCAACGGAGAAACTAAACCCGCTAAAGGTAGCGGGAAAAGTTTTTTGTTTAATTTAGGGAAAACATTTACCGCTAAATTTAGCGGAAATATTTTCCCGCTAAATTTAGCAAAACAATTTGCCCCTAAATTTCCACAAAAAAAAATTGTCGCTAAATTTTGCGGGTAAACGTCCCATAATACAACGCGCGGTAACGCCGACGCCGCTCGACCCGGAAACAGGCGCCTGAGAGCTCACTCTAAACTATTTGCTTTAGCAGGCCATGTGCACTGCAAAACCTGAGTGCTTCTTGCCTTTCGAAGCAAAATGACGGGAACATACCTGGATCAACTTGATGCCAGCCGAACGCCCGATTGCTTTCAGCCAAATAGCTAACACATTCTTACCTGTGTAGGTATCTTCTCGGTATTGAACCAATGGTTGAAATCACGACGGTAGCACAACGCACAGAGCAGCGGTGCCGCTTTTACGGAGGATGAGGGGAGGAGAAGAAGAAGACAAGGAGGAGAAGGGGATGAGCGGGTACGGAGGAGGAGGAGGGGCATACCCTCCTCTCCGTACCCTCTTCTCCTCCTCCTTAAGAGCTGCGCTCTAATTCGGGGTCACACAGAGTTATAAACGTCTTCCGTTTTTATATGGTTCCTTGGGCTTAACACTTTTCGGTGTCGGTTTTTCGTTACAGTTGGTTGTTACATCCGATCGTGACTGCCAAAGGTTAAAGAATGCTATGAAAATTGGCTGATAAGACACATTCCATGTGAATAAAAAATCCGGTTCAAGCTCGCTGCGCTTTACGGGAGATGGTGCCACGAGTTACAACTATTGCTATTTCGTTCGTCTGCGAACACGTTAACCGTCGGTGCTTGTAAAGTTTTTTGGCGGCATTGCTTACAGAAAGAGAGCTACGCATTGACAGGTCGCATACTAAAATGTACAACCTAAATGCGCATTGGGTGACAGTTTCAGTTTTCTACGGGCTGACACCAAATTTTCCTGCTCGTTTTACAGTGCTGATATTCACTAAAGGCACCATATTTATATTTAGTACACTTCTAAAAAAAGCTGTCAAAGGAGTTCGGCCCTTAATCTATACTATCCTCGTTAATAGACCCTTTCCGAAATTCAGTGCCATCTGGTGGCTGAAATGGCGGTTTAACTTTTGCCATACGAATGGCGGCAATGAACCCGTAGCCTGCAGTATTTTATCGGGCACCGTCACTTTTGCATGTCAACGGCAAACGAGAATAAACTTTTCGCTATACAGGTTTTTCTGGATCATCTCTTCCAGTCTCAATTCCCACAACGATGCAACCAGTCAGAACAAAGCGCCAACCCAGACAGACACCTTGATAAAGTCCTAACTAACAGGTTCACTGGGCTCGAATTAGGGAAATGAACACTTACGCAGTGCTCGCATTCAATTCCGGTTTCGCAACGTGCTAACTTCTAGAATGTGTAGGGCCTCGAATCCTCAGCTTAGGAGTATCTTCAACATGTTCCTTCATCAGTAAATCGAAAGCCGCCATTGGTATGGCACATATGCCATTTTTGAGATGATGATGATAGTGATCAAAGTGGCCAGACTGAATTTCGGAAAGGGTCTATTTCAATCAACCTATCCAAAACCAATTGAAACTTCAGTTTATCTTGCATACATTAAAATATTATGTAGTTCTTTTAGAAGTGTATCAACACTATCATAAATTTATTCCTTCAAATTAAGTGCAAACATAAGAAAACAAAACACCTTTAGTCTAACCACAGGAAAGAGTTGAGCACGTTGGTTACAGATATTTAGGAGACAACAGCTGAGCAAACCATGCATACAGATGTAAGGAGGACGAGAGAGACGCATTCAACCACTGGACTACCAACTGCATTTAATGAAACACTTCATCTTCATCGTCAGGCTAGGATCAATCATAGCAAGCTTGCCTCACTTCTTTCTTTTTTTCTTCATTTTTAAACTAAGGCCTCCTCCTCGTCTGTCTACTTGTGGGCGGTACTTCCACCTCGCAAGAACGTCCTCTCTTCTCTGGTTAAGGTCACAGATGGTGAACTAACACACATGTCCCCTTTCTCTTTTATGTTTAAACCTTCTAGAACCTCACGTGCAAACCGGTTTCGATGATGCCCCATGATGGTAACTTTGTCTAGGTTCGCCTTGCACTTGCAGTCACGGCAATGTAGGCTAAGTGACCTGCTGCCGCCAAGTTCTTCAAACTAGTGGCATGTTCCCGAGTACTATCATTTATACACCGCCCGGTCTGGCCGATGTAACAGCGGCCGCATGTCAGGGGTATGTGGTATATAACCTCCTTCTCGCACTGGGCATAAACGGTCCTGTGATTGGTGCCACACCCCTTGCTGTTGCTTGTTTGCCCCTGATTGACCTTGCGGCACAACGAATAGGCCTTATTGGGCGCCGAACACAGCACTTGTACCTTGCGCCGATTTGCCATCTTTTTTTAACCTATGTGTAATCCCATGAATATATGGGACAACCGCAAACGGTCTTCTTTTCTTCTTTTGCTGTGTGGAAGGGTCGTTGCGTCCGCAAGTCGTCTTGATGGTGCGGCAAATTCTTTCGCACACGGAGGCAATTACATGTCGTGGGTAGCCCGCGTCTTCGAGTCTGGATATTTGCAACTCGAAGCAGGCAGTAGCTGTCACAGCCCTGTTTTCTAGCCTGAAGAAATCTTGTGAGCATCAGATCTCCCGAAGCTTTGGGTTGCAAATATCCAGACTCGAAGACGCGGGCTACCCACGACATGTAATTGCCTCCGTGTGCGAAAGAATTTGCCGCACCATCAAGACGACTTCCGGACGCAACGACCCTTCCACACAGCAAAAAAAAAAAGAAAAGACCGTTTGTGGTTGTCTCATATACTCATGAGGTTACACGTAGGTTAAAAAAGATGGCGAATCGGCACGAGGTACAAGTGCTGTGTTCGGCGCCCAATAAGGCCTATTCGTTGTGCCGCAAGGTCAATCAGGGGCAAACCAGCAACAGCAAGGGGTGTGGCACCAATCACAGGACCGTTTATGCCCAGTGTGAGAAGGAGGCTATATACCACATACCCTTGACATGCGGCCGCTGTTACATCGGCCAGACCGGGCGGTGTATAAATGATAGGACTCGGGAACATGCCAATAGTTTGAAGAACTTGACGGCAGCAGGTCACTTAGCCTACATTGCCGTGACTGCAAGTGCAAGGCGAACCTAGACAAAGTTACCATCATGGGGCATCATCGAAACCGGTTTGCACGTGAGGTTTTAGAAGGTTTAAACATAAAAGAGAAAGGGGACATGTGTGTTAGTTCACCATCTGTGACCTTAACCAGAGAAGAGAGGACGTTCTTGCGAGGTGGAAGTACCGCCCACAAGTAGACAGACGAGGAGGAGGCCTTAGTTTAAAAATGAAGAAAAAAAGAAAGAAGTGAGGCAAGCTTGGTATGATTGATCCTAGCCTGACGATGAAGATGAAGTGTTTCATTTGCAGTTGGTAGTCCAGTGGTTGAATGCGACTCTCTCGTCCTCCTTACATTTGTATGCATGGTTTGCTCAGCTGGTGTCTCCTAAATACCTTTAGTGTCGGCCGGTCTCCTCTCCTAGGAAAGTAAAAAGTTTGGTTTAATTAAATTTCTACTAACCTTGGCTTTATTTGACAATATTTTGCTTAAGAGGGGGCGCACCTCAGAGCCCCATAGAGAATACATGAGGTTTTTCGCCAACTTAGAAAAATTCTCAC